GCAATCTGACAGATCAGAAATAGATGATTTGAGAGTAAAAAGGGTAGCAATAATCACGGTGAATCACCTTTTCTAGAGCTTTGTCAAGCTGCTCCAATGTTCCCTCCTCACGCTCAAACTGGATAAAATACTCAAATACAACTGTAGGATGATCCGATACAGAATTGAGCGCCTAAATCTAGGACTTGAGATCGCAATCGAAGATGAAAACAGTCGATTACCTTATAAAGCAACTTCCTTGCTCCTTCAGCTGTTCCAAACTGCCTCTCGAATTTCACCGCCTCAATCCACTTTTCGGCAAAACGTCCACCACCGGAAGCCAAGATATCATCCCAGATTTGCCGACCCTAAGACAAAGATTTTTCAGCAATCTTCTTTTCATGTGACATGCCTACAAACAAACAAACTGATAAGATAAGAGGCGTAGAGACCAACGAACAATTTGCATCGCAAAGTTCAAAAACTGAAAAGTTACCTTTTTGGCATCGCCAAGCTTTGTATATGCAAAGTAAGCCCAGTTTTTACGGTAAGTAGCTTGTTGATCCCATTCGTGCGCTCCAAACCACTCAGATAGGGACTGAAAAAAGTAGTTTCAGAGCAATCAAGTAAGATATCTACCAACCTTGGCGCCATCTTCAAAAACCAGAGCCATTTTCTGGAAATCCTTATCAGTTGCATCGGCACGGCGACGTAACATATAGAGATACGTTCTGTATAGAGCTCTTCCGTCATCTGGCGAGCTAGAAATTAGTTGCTAGGAAATTTTCTTGATTTCACAAAAGCGTGACATACGAGCAGGGTGATGCCTACCTAATTGTTTCTCGAGCACTCATCCACATACCATCAATTTCTTCCACAGGCGAACCGGCGCGCTCGAGAGCAAGAAGAGTTTGCTGCCATAGAGCGCAACTGTACGGACAATGGCGTACCGCTCGCTTGTAGACTCGACAAGTTATCTACAAAAAACTCTATTTACAGAAATTCTTGCAATATTTACAGAAAACGATGCTCGCAATATGTAATACAGAGGAGAATGTAGACAAACTTCATATCCCACCCTCAACGAAAACTTACTGAGTGTATTTTCAGCTTAGTTTCACACCACTGTCCATAGTCAAACCATATATTCTCATCATCTGGGTATTTGTCTAACATGCGGTCATAGAAAGACTGTATTCTTGCTGGATCATCTTTTTCTGGAAAAATAACAAAGACTTTTTTCCAAAAACAAAGGCTATAATCATTTAAGCCGGCACCTACCTTTCTCAAAATTCAAATACTCGTGGAAAGCATCGAGGCTATCATCAGTTTCAGCCAACTTCATTTCATACTTCGAAAATTCTTTCATCAAATTCGTTGAAGCCTCATGCGCTGTTTGTATCTCTTCGTCAATATTCTCACCTAAAAAGACAGGTCCAGCGTCCAACAGACCGAAATCAATCGAAAATAAGCCCACCCGCAAACTCCAAGTAGCTTTTCCATGTGTCGGCTAGATCCACATTTGGGACCCGGAGAGCTCTCTTGTACAAATTCTTGATTACTTTTATCTGTTTTTCATTTGTTTCATCACCTAAACGGTGATGTGTTGAACACATTGTAAAAGTAAATCCCTTGGAAAGCTGCTGCATTTCGACGTAAGCAGAAGTACAACTCACCTCCAAGCAGAGCTTCTTCAAAGCATAGATATGATTGCCATATCATAGCGCCCACATCAACACGAAGGCCAATTGCTGTTACGGCTTCCTCAAACTTCTACAAAAAAGAAAGCATGATTACAAAAAAAAATCATACGCGGAAAACGAAGTATATACCTCTCTTGCGAATCCCGGATCAATGCCGCAAGCCCACTGAACCAGCTCCATCCAAATTTCCAACGAATTATCGTCGAATACTGCTCTTTCGAACAGTTTCTCCATCCGCTCACGTTCCGCTCCAGCTGAGCGTTCATCTCTGAGGAACAGCATTTCAATCCAGCAAAAGAAACACAAGACTATAATAGCTAAACTCACTGGATCCACTCCACCCATAATTTGCTCGATAATGGACCTTGAGAGGCTAATTTTTCTCTAGCTTCTGCAGCTTCGTCGAGATCGCCGTTTTTTCGGAGCAAAGAGATCAGCTCTTCCGTCAGTTTTTTATTGTCGGGCTTTTTGGCAAGCTAAAAGAGACTCAGGTGTTACAGGGAAACCATTATAATTGCTGAATGACATGAAAAAAA